TGTTTCTTGCGCATTTTAGTACGTGCGATTTCGCAATAACCTAATGATTAAGCCGTTCTAAACCCTACTTGCTAAACTTCTTCACTAACTCCCCTTTACATTTAGAAAAACATAGGTAGATCTGCTGTAAAATTAAGTTATTAATGTACATCAAAATTCAGCAAGGCACTGTAAACTAAAATAGTAGGCACACACACATACACACACACGTACACACACACCCACACAAACACGCACATCTATATATATATACGTATATATATAAGTAGATATACATGTATATATGTATATATATACACCCACACCCATACACACACACACGCACACACACTCACACACACACTCAAACAAGCACGACACACACACACATATGCATACACACTCTTGCACACTTACGTAAGCACACTCATGCAGGCACACATTGTTATGCAGACATCTATAGAACTTTGCTGGATTTCAAGAACGTTCTTGTTTAGAGTGGCCATTTATAGTTGTGCTTTCTTGTTATAAAATGATCATATTAAGGCTCATATTTTGCTCTATTCTGATTCTTCCATCTCTTTTTTTTCCTAATGCACGAGAGCCCATTATTAGGTCCAGGTATTCTATAGGAATGTATTGTTTTAAATTCGATGTAATGTCCATCTCCGTTATCAGTATTCTAAATGAGGAGAGAGAAAAAAGCAAACAAGAACCCTCCTCCCCCCACACACAAACTACATACGTAAACAATTTTAGATTAGATTAAAAAAAAACCCGTCACGTTTGAGCATCGAACAAGGCTTCAACGCTCATCATCCAACCCGACGACTCAGTGCCGGCACAGCTGCCTGGGAGCGGCCAAGTTCAAGCAGGAATGAGGCACGAAGGGGGATAGTGCTGTATGATGACGCTCATGAGAATGACCAGGAGCGAGAAGCCGACAGCTCCAACGAAGGAACAGAGCATGTAGAGCATCATCACGAGGATACTTGTCTCACTGTTCAAGCTCTGGTCAAAGCTGGCAGAAGAGGAACGTACGTCGAAGCTGGGAGACCTGCTAGTTTGTATAGTAGAGGGTCGACTCACTTCTGACATCCTCCCCGGTTTTGGGTATTATGAGGACTTTGGCGCTGTATGTGAATGAGCTAATAATAGCCTCTGTCTGTCATTTTGCAGGGCGGAAGTACTCACGAGGAAAAGTCACAATACATCAGCATCTTGGTGAGTCATTTCTGTACTTCATTTTCACAAGGTAGACAAGATAGACAGGATAGGTAACAAGAAGTAAAAAAAAAAAGCTGATTTGCCAGGAATATAATTTCCATCATGGAATGGAGACAAAAAAATACGGTTCCTCTTTCGTATACAGGAAAAGAAAAAATATAGGAATCGAATCTCAAAATATGTCGATCTTATCGTTCAGAAAATTGTCTCCCGGACACAGCATGGCGTGTCAAGGAAGCATCTACAGTGTGCGCTGCCTCTGTTTTTGTACTTCTGCAGCGACTTTCTTGTTGAACTGTGACTCCCACTGGTACGCCACCTCCTGTTGTTGTACTTTAAACAATGTTTACTCCATAGGAGTAGCAACAAAGTCAAACTGGTTATAGAAAAGTATGAGGAAGGGCTGGGTGTAACTTGCTATTCTTTATCTCAAGCAAACCTCTGGATTTTTCAGAAAGACAGGCAAAAATCCCATCACCGGAAGGCGGAAGGCTGATGGAAGCTGAAAGAAGTTGAAAAGTAGAATCTACGCGAAGTGAAGACGAAACAACTGTATTGTGAAATTATGTTTTTAACCATCCTGTCCATTCATTTACACTGTTCATTATCTTTGTTGGAGAAAGTGTATCTTTGCGTAAACCGAAATTCAATATATTACCCACCCCCCCTCTCTGAACCCCACATTTCTTTCGATGTAAGTAAACGATGTCACCCTCTCCCCCCCCCCCCCTCCTCCTTGCGTTTCCGTGCAAAAAGCCTCAAACGCAACCTAACAGCTCACGCTGATACGTCCTCATGTCACCCCCCTCAAACACACACATACACGCACACACACACACACACACACACACACACACACACACACACACACACACACACACACACACACACACACACATGCACGCGTCATACACACATGCGCGCATCACGGAAGCATCATGGCGCAGGCAATTGCTTTGAAATTGATAGTTGCAACTGTCTCAAACAAAGCAACTGGAAATTTGAGGAGAAAAACATCAACACAACAAAAGACGAATTTGCAACCCTCTCCCGTTTCTGTTGACCTTTGCGTGTGGATGAAAGCGAACAACGCCAAGAAAAATATTCATCAAAGACTATAAAAGTATGGGCATGTAAGTGACTGCACTGTTAGATCTAGTAATTCAGATGGCGTCAAGCAAGGTTATGGTGCAAATGGCTGGAGTTCGAATATCCCCAAATGGGATATCGATTTTTAGTTTAGGTTGTTTGTAACATTTTCGAGGCCTACTTTTACTTGTGTCAGTTCTGTCAGGGGTAGATATGAAATTTGGAGATCTTGTCTTCTCAACAGTTTTACATGCCATACCTATTATTAGGTGCCTCATTTGAGAAATAGAGGACGTAATGTTAGGCCAGTTCATAATTCTTTCATCAGTCGTTGGTAAAGAGTGTTTTCTCAAATAAGTAGGTAAAGAACCACAGTGTGCCAGAAACAGATTCAGATGAAAGTAGTACCGAAAAATAGAGGGAGAAGTTGTTGCCACAGCTCCCACGTTTCATCCGCTGCTTGTATTGTTTCAACCCTTGTGCACCCCCCCCACCCAAAAAAACCCCTAACAAAAACATCATCATCAACAACAACAACAACAATTACAACCCTCCCCCCCCCACCCAAACAACAAAAAAACCTTTCATGAATATTCTTGTAGCACTAAAAGAATGGTCACTTACTGTTTTTTTCCTTTGCACTTCTGTGAATCTATTCCCATGGCAAAAGCCTCTGAGACTAACACACACCGCTTCCAGTATGACTCGCCTATGGTTGCGTACAATGCCTCTGTCGTGCCCTGCGTGCCTTGTTTTGTAACATTGGACCCTCATACCAAAACAGCCTTAAAGATAACAGATGCACTATAATGGCCTCGGGTTCTGAATCTCAAGTAGAGATCCTTTTCAGAAAATAAAAACGAACGAGTATATCTCTATTTGTAGTGATGAATGAGTGGCAGATAAAGGACTGAATGAGATACAAAAAGCGCGTTGATCTTATATTTTCAGTTTTGGCACACATACTCCTGTCTTTTGCCGAAGGCTCTCAACAGCAAAATTTTTCTAAGTATGTGTAAATATCCCGATTCGGGTAAGAGCAAAAAAATAAACAGTTTATGTCTTCAGCTACCTCTAAGAAAATTTTAGTAGGGCCTATACGCCCCCCCCCCCCCAAAAAAAAAAAGCCCGAACAGGGCGAAACGTCGAAACGCTTAAAAAAAATAAAAATACTGTCTTGAAATTTAAGAAGCACCCAAAATCTCCATCTACTTTTTCTTTTTCTCTTTATACTTCCAGAAATGATGATGATGAGGAAAATAACAACAATGACTACAGGAAATAACAGCATCACTCCCTCCAGCTCAACTACTATCTTACATCAAGCAAGGGGTGCGTAGGCCAAGTGTGCAATGCTTCTTTCAGCTTCAAAGACCTTGTGCGCACGATGTTGCACAGCTCTTCCCATTAGAAGAAATTTTAATGGCGTCCACTAAATCTTTGCTTTGACGCCTTGATAGATGCAGATGAAGTAAATCATGCTGCAATCTTCAATAAAGGTGGGTTCAAAGGTTTTAGATCTATATCTTAAACTGTAGCAGTATTATTTTTGATTAATAAATAATAATGCTAGGAAGTGGTAGAGGTTTTGTTAATTTTTGTATCGGGAGTACTTCCTTAACCAGTGACTACTATTAAATCTAGATTTCTAGATCTAGATTGTAGATCTAGAATATCTAGAATCTAGATTACATTCAAAGAGTCTAAATAAGCGAGAAAATGGCTAGGTGTTGTTATGTACTATCTTTGCTTATACCCAATGTCATGATGGCTTCCAAAATCATGATGGAAGACCGAAAGCCACTGTTATACCGCCTGTTCATGACAAAATTACGGTATTTTGCGCATTTTTAGGCCCAGTTCAAAGATATGAACGTCTGAGTCGGGGATTAGTAGATCTATGTGCAATATTTACAATAGTAGTTTCTCAACTTTCGTCACTTTATAGCTAATTGTAATTTTTGCCCCTCTAACTCGAAGACGATTGTCTTGTATCGAGAGAGTGACAAACTAAAGCGATGTTCTAAGCGAAAACGATTTTGTTCTCATATTAAGTTAACATAAAATTTCATATATAAAACGAGGTTGAGAGAAATACGAAAAAAATACCCAACCAACCCCCCCCCCCACCAACTTAACGTTAATTAATATGCAAACGCTCGTAAAATGTTATAGCTTTTATCCCAGCAAATATTTCATCCTCATCCAAATAGGGGTCATGTACGGAACAAAATCTAACACCCTACTGGATAAACATTGAGGGTCATTTCGATGGTGGAGCATTTCGTCGCTCAATAGGGCACCGGACAAAGAAGAACCGTTTCAGGACCGACTAGAAAAATAATTCGAAATCTCCTCGCACTCGAACCTCGAATATGTACATCGCAGATAGAGCTAATTTTGTTGCCCAACACCAGCTTGAAAATGCTCCTGTTACGTCAGTTTACAATATTCTTCTTGTTTGAAAAAGCACACGTTCAGATCAACCAGATTGAGCCAGATGGGTTGAAGACCGTTATGTCCACAGTAGGCCATTCAAAAGTCAGACCACAGAACGTCGTCAGATTTCCATCAGATCTAATCTTCGTGAGTACAGAGACTTCAAACCTGCGTCTGTGGTATAGCGGTTAAATGCGAGTCGCTGTCGCACGCAGGAGACCCGAATTTGATTCCCGAGTGGGGAACATTTTTTATCCTGTATCTCAGGATTTCTTTTGGGATGTTGTATCCCTCTCAGCCTGTGTACCTGTGACAAACAGGGTCGGAAGCCTGCCTATCAAATGATCCAATATGTCCCGATGGGGGCGTAAAAATAACTGCATTTAAAGAAAACCAGACTTCAAAATCCAATAAACACCCCAAATTTACAAACGCCCTGTTAAGTTTTCGAACCAGAAAGATTCACATTCAAGTGTTGCATGAGACTAACAAAACCTAGATCCATAACACATTTCCCGAGTTATCATTTGCGTAGGTGTCCTTGTTCAATGTCTTTCTATGTTTTACTCATATGAGGAACTCCTGTGATACCTATTTGATGAATTTGACTTACGTACGAAGACTCGCCGGTCGATTTTTTTCGTGCTTTAAGTGAGGGATAACCCAGAGTTCTGGCGTAAGACCATAGTATGCTGCGTTCTCAGAATACACAAACTGATATTAGTACGGCGCTAACATTTATAGAAAGCAACATTTTTCAGGAGAGAGAGAGAGAGAGAGAGAGAGAGAGAGAAAGAGAGAGAGAGAGAGAGAGAGAGAGAGGGGGAGAGAGAGAGAGAGAGAGAGAGAGAGAGAGAGAGAGAGAGAGAGAGAGAGATTTTTTCATTAATTTAACAATTATAAACTCTATGTATCCTTTCTTGGTTCCCTAAGCACAAGCTACCGAAACCACAAATCAACATACTGCAAAAAAATAGATTAAAAAAAATTGTACAGGACATCTGAACAGCTGGCCAACAATAATATTATGTAGGTTTTATGTACATATATATAATGTGTACTATAAAAAGAACTTCATTCCTACTACAAGAAAAACAAAACAAACGAAGACACCGACCCAACAACAGCTAAAGAACGACTTCTTTCGTAAAGCTCTTTTTCCTTCTTACATCCATAAAGTATAGTACGTAGAAATGTCTGTCCTACGTTTTTATTTTTACCAAGACTAATCATTGTAATCTTGTGCTCGTGTATTAGTATGTGTTCTCGTTAACCCTTTGCCAACATGTTCTCACGTTTGAATCCACAGAGAGCGAGGATGCAGGGACTAGCCAGCCGTAAGTAACGGCACTCAATCCCCATGAGGTCGACTGAAGTGAACGGCTGGGGTTCAAACATAGAAGACAAGGCACAGAAAAACGAAGGAAAAGTGGGCTGGAGGATGGACAAAAGGATCTTTCTTTTAACACCAAGCCGTAGATAAAATAAAACGAAGCTAGAGTAAAACTACGGAAACTCAACAAGGGACACTGATCAAGACATCTTCTTTGCGGTGGCGTTTTCGTCCCAAAAGAAAATGAACATTGATTAACACCCAAACCTTTGTGAAGTATAAACACACCAAGACATCACCGTGAACAGCCTTCTTGGTACCAACTGTGCATTCCACCAACAGAAACAGGAATACAGACAAGTAAAGAAAAACAGTAGCAGCTGAAAACACATCTCCAGGCACGAGAAGCAGAGATAAAGAGAATAATAACATCATCACTATCATCGTCATCGTAGTAATTAGGAAAGAACAACCGGTGACCAATCACGTGCCACGGAAGCATCTGTTATTATTGACATTTTAAAGAGCAAAGTCAACAATGCGTCTATCATAGAATCCCTTATTTTACTAGATCATTCTCATCTAGCCCTGAAAATTTATATGTAGGTCAAATTTGCCATTTCTTTTTCAAGCAAAGAGAAACCTTCAAGGTCATGGAAAACGAGAGCCACCATTTTTTCTTCCTGCCTATCCTGGTCGTCCTGAGCGTGGTCTTCCTGTTCCTCATATCCGGCATTCTGGACACGCTCATCGAGGCCTGCGACCGACAGGACTGTGGACCCATAACCCGCACCCTCCTCAGCTTCTTCGTCATCATCCTGCAGATCGTGGCCCTGCCCATTACTCTGTCCATCATCGTCCTCACCATTGTGGCCTTCTGCCTCATCACCGTTCTGCAGGCTCTAGGCTGGGCGTTTCTCATACTGGTCAGCAACCCTGTCGGCATTGCTCTCCTCGCCATAGTGACGTTCGGATATTTTAACACGTCACAGTAGGAAGCACGATCAGTTATGACTGAGAGGAACAATTTAGTAATGTTTCAGATTTTAAAAAAGCAAGAATTGTATCAATTCAATCTTACAACCTTGTTTTGGATATGCTATATAAATAGGTATTAATTTTTCATCAAATGTAAAATCTAAAAACTCTTCAATAATTAATACACTGAACAAATGTTAAAGTCAGTTCCAAGGGGTGGGAGCCTCGGCCACATCAATATTGTCCAGTTGTCCAGGAAAAGTTCTCGTGACGTTTAAACAAAGAATATAAGCCTAGGCTACTATTCTCGGAATGTAATTATTCAAATCGTGGCACTTTAAGCTCATGAGGACACGCAGAGAAGCGTTGTTTTCAGATATCAGGTTACACGACATGTCTTTACTGTTTTCTGTCCTGAGCCACATCACATTAAAACGCCAAGCTTCGCACTTTTAGCACGTTTTGTATGGCTTTGATTGTAAACTGCCTGTGCTTTATGAACCTTGTTTCTTTTTATCTCAGGTTTATGTGTGGAATTGTTTTCGTCTTAAGATCCTTTAGTGTTCCGCCACGATTACGGTTCTGATTTTTTGAGCTTCTTGTTTTCAACCATTTTGATTAGACCTGGTACTATTACTATTACAAGTGTTTATTCAAGCTACTCGCGTGAAGATACGTTTGGAAACCGTGTTGCCAAATAGATTTTGTTTATTTTTGGAAAGTGTTTTACGGCGCTCGCAACTGCATAAGGTCATATGAGCGCGCGGTATACACCTAATATTTTCAGTTGGTAGGAAATTTTGAATTTTGCCCAGGTGGCGACCGAAGCCTACTCTTATCGATTTTAGACCATCAAGGGATCTTTAACGTGCGCAACTTGCACACGGGCCCTCCGAGATTTTTCGCCCTTGTCCGAGAAGGCTAGGTGTAGATCTTTCCTACTAGAAGATCAGGGGTGTGGCAGAAAGACAGCAGTAAGTAGGAGCCAAGGAGTAGCATTAGAAAGGCCGCAGAAAGAGTCAGGAGCCCAGAGGAGGGGGCAAAGGAGTTGAGGGGGTGGGGGCAGAAAGTGGAAAAGAAAGCAGACAACAGAACATTGCTAGAGAGCAGAAAAGGAGGTGAAAGGAGACAATTTTAGCGAAGGAAATTTTTCGGTCGCTACCCGGATTCGAACCCGGGACCTTTGAATGAGAGGCCAACACCTTAACCTCTAGGCCACGAGAGCCCTCGGCCAAATAGATGTCCTTGAAGTTGTGTTTTTTTTTTCTTTTGTTTTTACAAAAACGGATCTTCATAAATTAACACAAACAGATTTTTACTGAAGGCCACACTCTGTAGGGTTTTGGGAGTCTGTGGCAGATAGGCCCCGGAGAAGAGAGAGAAAGAGATAGAGAGAGAGAAAGAAAGAGAGAGAAAGAAAGAGAGAGAGAGATCAAGATAGATAGATAGATAGATAGATAGATAGATAGATAGATAGAGAGAGAGAGAGAGAGAGAGAGAGAGAGAGAGAGAGAGAGAGAGAGAGAGAGAGAGAGAGAGAGAGAGAGAGAGGCAAGAGTCGCTATTAGTATTAGGACGGAGCAAGGACGCAATCCCTTTGATAGAGATGTTGTAACTTATGAATAGCAAGGATTCCATCTCTCCCTTTCCCCCTTTCTCAATTCATTGCGTAGAACCAATATGAGTACTAGTATGATGTTCCAGTTACAGCCAGTATACACATATGATCTACTTTTCTTTTCATCGTCTCCGTAGTTTGCTTTTTCGTCTCTCTCCTTGCGTTTTTCTGTGAGGGATAGTCCTGACCAGCCAAAATGACCATGTGACGTGCCAGTACTATTTGAGTTTGCAAGACAGGGAATATATGCCAATAAAACACGATGTTAACCATGCAAACCAGCTGCAACACTTAAACACCAATATCACTGCTGCTGGCGTATCTGATTATGCGGTAAAGTGTATTGCCGTTGCAAGCAAAAGACTCGAGTTAGATTCCCGTGTGGGGAGAATTTTGTTCGAGTATCCCGGTTTTTCAACTGGACCGTCGTATATATCTCAGCCCGGTTGGCTCTGACCCCTACAGGCGGGGTCAAGCTCCCGTGACAGAGTCTTATTCAATGGCGTGGACCAGTGACCCCCCACTCTGATAGCTACTGTACTTGTCCGTTTTCACGTGCTCTCTGCACTCGACCGTAACCACGTCTCTTCCCTCATCCCCAACCTTCCTCGATGTCCATAGTGAATATATCGCTACCTCAGAATCAGTTAGATCTGCTCAGTACCGACATGTAATTTTAAGAAAATTGACGTAGAAAGTTTGGAGTTTCACAATATTTCAAGATTGTTGGAATGCAAACCTTTGATTATCTTGATACCGACTCAAAACAACCGTACGATTTTGATAGAGCAGATAGAGCATATGGTTTTTGACCTTAGTAGCCCAAAACAGCCTAAAATGTCTGATAGAACTTTGCAATTCTGAGGTAGCGATAGGTTAGCACTGACATAAATGTTGTTTTTACTCCCTGGTGGCCTTTTGCGTCTTGACAGACGTGGTCAAAGCAGTATGCGTGGCACGTGGCACAGCTTTGTCTGAGTTGTAGACATAGAGGAGGTAAATTGCCTAAGTACATTGTACTACTTTCCTCCCAACTGATCTTGACTGCCTTGATGTTTTGCTCCAGAGGAAAGACATCATAGGTATGTTTGGAATCAAATAAGATGTAATGGTGCGTCTGACTATTTCTTTTTCTTCTCTTTATTTCTTTTATTTTATCTAGAAAGTATTCACAAACATTTCGAGATCTGATTATGTCGGTGGTTTTTGTAACGTTTTAGTTTTAGGGTGGGTTGAAAATAGATAAGAAGGGTTGAGATTACTGGTCATGTTTATGATTTATTTAATTACTTCTAAGGGATTCGGCCCAACTCAAGTTAACATTAAAAAGATTCAAAATTATTATACTTAGATTCAGTTCTAATATAAGTTTCAACACAGCACACTGTCCTCAGCTCTAAACACCATTACGGGCATTTTTGTATATTTTGTTGAATGTGGAGTTTTTATGTGGCATCTACACCTCCCTCTCCCCTCCCCCCGCCCACAAACACACTCGCCCACCTAAACTAATATGTGCCTTTGGGAAACGGGTGTTTAATCAAACCTCACGTTTCTATAATGAACACGGTGCTTTGAAAACGACGTCAAAACTATGCAATAATTATTCTGTTGCTTTCTTTATAATCTGTTGGCTAACGCCGACCACCTCTGTCCTTATTTGAATTTAATTTACCTCACCTCCACACTCTCCGGTCAAAAACAGTAGATTTTCTGGTTACCATTCTTGTCTGACATGCGTTTGATGTCAATTCCCTGACAATAGAGGTGTGGCCCCCGCATTAATCGTTGCATTTTGAGAGGACTTCCCCAGGGTTAGAGAGCCGTAACACTTTCCTTTATCAATTTAAGTTCAAGTTAAAGAATGCCCCGTTGAAGGCTCGCTCGAAACAGTTCAGCATTGAAAAGATCGGGTCAAAACTGGGGTCAAAGATTTCGTCCCTTGTCCCTTCCACTGGCTTGCTTAACATAAATCTACGAAACTACAATCTCTTGTAATATTCTCCCTGCATTTTTTTCGACGAAGTTATATTTTTTCTGCTGAATCCAGACAAACTAAACTTCCCTAACCAACAAACATCTGTACTTATCGCTATTTAACCTCGTTGTCCTCTTTGTCCTTGGAGGGGGAAAGGTAAGGTAAAGTTCGCTATAAAAGCAAATATTACATTTTTCCAAATCCATTGCGTACATTTCCCACCCAAATAATCTTTTGGAGTCCCATCACCTTACTCGGTTTGTTAGATAAGCAACGAAACTTGTGAATAGCGACTTGTAGGTATCAATAATTTGTAGGAAATTAAGTTTTCCCCTTTGTCTTCTGTCTGCGTCATGAGGGGGTTTATCACGGTTCACAAGGTATCATCACACATGCGATTAATTACTTGAGAGCCCGTGGAGTTGTGATGAGCAATCTAAAGGCGTGATCAGCACTCACGACAGGCTCTGTATCGGAGGAGGGTGCGCGCAACTGGCGTTACAATGTGGCACTAACGTCGATCTACATCGCTCCCTTAGAATTACAACCTTCTATCTGTGACATTCTTGGCCATTTTCGAGATACTATAACTATAAGACCTTGAGGTCAGAAACCAAATGGTTAATTCTATCTGGTCTTTCAAAATCGTAAAATTATTCGGAGTCGTTATCAAGGTATTCAAGGAATTGCATTCGAACAAGTTTGACATGTTGTAAAACTCATTTTTTAACGTCAAAATTCTCAAAACTAGTTACTGAGCAGATAGACATTTGTAATCTTAGCATAGCAATTTCTAAATACAGTGTCATGACCCGTTGAAATCTGGCGGTCGTTATGTTTGTTTGTTTAGTATAGGGTTTTACGGCGCTCGCAACTGCATAAGGTCATATGAGCGCGCGGGACACACCTAATACTTTTTCGTTGGTAGGAAATTTTGAATTTTGCCCGGGTGGCGGCCGAAGCCTACTCTTATCGATTTTTGACCACCAAGGGATCTTTAACGTGCGCAACTTGCACACGGGCCCTCCGAGATTTTTCGCCCTTGCCCGAGAAGGCTAGGTGTAGATCTTTCCTACCTGAAGATCAGGGGTGTGGCAGAAAGACAGCAGTTAGGAGGAGCCAAGGAGTAGCAGTAGAAAGGCTGCAGAAACAGTCAGGAGCCCAGAGGAGGGGGCAAAGGAGGTGAGAGGGTGGGGGCAGAAAGTGGAAATGAAAGCAGACAACAGAACATTGTTAGAGATCAGGAAAGGATGTGAAAGGAGACAATTTTAGAGAAGAAAATTTTTTGGTCGCTACCCGGAATCGAACCCGGGACCTTTGAATGAGAGGCCAACACCTTAACCTCTAGGCCACGAGAGCCCCGGCGGTCGTTATTTTTTGGGCATATGAAGTAAATGAGTATCTCCTTAAAGCTTGTTTAATTGCCTTGCATTTGATGATAAAAATATACATATATCTTGAAGGGAGGTCAAAAACATTGCGATTGAAGGAGATACGGATTTTTTATTTTGGGGGAAGGGCTGCGGGGGGGGGGGGGGGGGTTCGCTTGGCGTCAGAGGTAAAATAAGCAAGAAAATGGCCAGGTGTTGAGCCAGAAAGAAAAACACAAAAACAAAAACAAAAACAAAATAAATTAAAACCACTATCAAACAAAATAAAACAACAACAACAACAATAACAACAACAACAACAACAACAACAACAACAACAACAACAACAACAACAACAACAACAACAACACACACACACACACACACACAAACACAAACACAAACACATACACGTACACACGCAAACGATTCGAATTGCCCACGGCCTGGAAAATGTCGTTTTCTTCGACTTCATTATTTTGACGAGCT